CAGTCAAGGGCACATGCTCAGGTTATAGGCTTGATCCCTAGCAGGGGGCGTGCAGGAGGCAGCCAATCAATGATTCTCTTTCATCGTTGATATTTCTCTCTCTCTCCCCTTCTCTCTTCCATCCTGAAATCAATAAAAATATATATTTTTCAAAAAGAAGCTCCATCCCACTAGAAGGAAACATGTCTACCTAGTAGGAAGAAGTATGTGTTTTTAAAAAAATATATATTTTATTGATTTTTTACAGAGAGGAAGGGAGAGGGATAGAGAGTTAGAAACATCGATGAGAGAGATCGATCAGCTGCCTCCTGTAAACCCCCCACTGAGGATGTGCCCGCAACCAAGGTACATGCCCTTGACCAGAATCGAACCTGGGACCCTTCAGTCCACAGGCCGATGCTCTATCCACTGAGCCAAACCGGTCAGGGAGAAGTATGTGTTTTAATAAAGGAATACATTTCCTTTTTACCTGAGAATAATGTGTCAGACATCTAGTGATAATCTTTTCCCCCTTGGGCTTCTTTTCATGAAGACAGAAAAAGTCTGAAAAAAGACAACCTTGAGAAGAAATGAAATCTGAAAACTTAGACTGCCCCCTGATTGATGTTTCTCTCTCATCAATGTTTCTATCTTCTATCCCTCTCCCTTCCTCTCTTTCTAAAAAAAATCAGTAAAAACAAACAAACTTAGATTACCTAGTTTCCACATTCACAAACCTGGAAGCACCATTTCACACTAATTCTAAATGGATGGACACACACATACACATTTGGATGGATGGATAGACAGACACATATACATACACATACACATACACATACAGCTCCCATAAAATGCCCAAGCAGCCCATCTTATCTGAAATCAGAAAAGTAGTTTTGGATTTAATGAATAAGAGGAAGAATTTAATAATCCCATTTTACAGATAAAGAAATTAAAATCCAGGGAGCAGCGGCCCGTTTGAAATGAATAAAACTAAAAAAAAAAAAAAAGACCGTACCCTTTTATGTAATGATGTTTACTTTGAATTTATATTAGTTCACACAAACACTCCATCCATGCTTTTGTTCCGGCCCTCCGGTCCAGTTTAAGAACCCATTGTGGCCCTCGAGTCAAAAAGTTTGCCCACCCCTGGCTTAGACCCTGCACAAGATGACTGTTCATGGGCTAGAGTAAGATCTCTGAAAGGAACATCAACAAGGACTTACCACAAGGAGAAAGATCAATGGCCAGCATCCTGTGAGTCTGACAGAGGAACCTACCTGAACACTTCTTGTTCCCAAAGTCTCTTTAAGAGAGTATGTTTCAAACTTAATTCCTCTTGATTAAGTAGTAATGGGAAGTCTTGCCTCATACCTTCAATCTTTAGGCAGCAGGCATTAGTCATCTGTCATCAAGCAGAAAATGAAATGATATATGTGAAAGCCATAAGAAACTCCATACTACACCATCCGAACATAAATAATAATTGCAATTTACAGAGTACCCAACGAGGGCCAGAAACATTGATAACTCATCCGATTACCACCATTGAATAGTTGAGGCAATCTTATTCAGACAGGAGTAGTAATTAGCCCAAGATGACCAATTAGGAAGTGGTGAGCTAGGATTTGAATACATATTACTCTGTCATAAAGATCTGAGGCTCTGGACAATGTTGTATAATTTTGAATTCTGAGTGGCTAACGTCAGTCATGCGGGTGCTGCATGCCTACATTACAGATCCCATTAAAAACCTAAACACCAAAAGTTAGGTGCTACAGACTAAATGTTAAATGTTTGTGTCTCAACCCCCTTCCCCAATTCATATATTGAAACCTAATCTCCAGTGTGATGGTATTTGGAGGTAGGGCCTTGAGGTCATGATTAGTGGGATTACTGCCCTTATAAAAGAGATCCCAGAGAACCCCCTTGCCCCTTCTGCCATGTGAGGACACAGCGAGAAGACAGCCATCTATTAACCACAAAGTGGGTCCTCACCAGACACGAAATCTGCTGACACCTTGATCTTGGTTTTCCCAGCCTCTAGAATGCTGAGAAATGTGTTGTTTATAAGCCACCAAGTCTACCACATTTTTGTTACAGCAGTCCAATTGACCAGACGTACATCAGGTGAGATTCCGTGGTTGGCAACTACTGACTGTAATATAGTAAATGAAAGTCCAAGAATATGTTGTGATACTGCAAAAGAAAAATGTATAGAAGGGAGGCTTGGAAGGAAAGCTCCTATTCACAGAGGACTGCCAGCTAAAGAATGAAGAAGGAATGACAGAATTTGAAAAAAAAACACCACATTTGTATCCCCTAATATAAAAATAGGTTAAAAAAATAAAAAATAAAAACAGGTTAAGGCAAAAATCAACAACTGATGCTAAAACCATTGGGTAAAAGGCTTTGGGGAACAAAGTGTCACCCATAGATTACCACAAGGAAAAACGTGGCTTAGCATCACTAATAAACAGCAGGATTTAAGTGAATTTAAGTGTCTCCCAATGAGATGAAACACACATTACCCAGGAAACTTTCAAGTCTCTAAACCTGTGCAGTATAACTTGATAGCCACAGGCTAATGCAACTGAGGAACTGAATTTTTAACTTTATTCACTTTTAATTCAGTTTAGAAGTAAAATTGATTCAGTCACTGAAAAACTTTTCAGTATGTCTGAAACAACTTGAGTTTGTAAATCTACTTTTTTCAACAGTAAATTTTATAAAATCTAAAAACAGATCAAGAATTTCCAATGAAAATTTAGCATCCACATGAGATGTGCTGTGAATGTAAAATACACGCTAGATTTCAATCAGTTAGTAAAAAAGAAATGTGTAAGTTCTTAAAAGCTCTATTAGCCCTGCTGGTTGAGCATCCACCCACCAACCAAGAGGTCACCAACCAAGGGGTCACGGGTTGGATTCCCAGTCAGGGCACATGCCTGGGTTTTGGGCTTGATCCCCAGGCGGGGGCGTGCAGGAGGCAGCCCATCGAGGTTTCTCTCTCATCAATGTTTCTCTCTCCATCCCTCTCCCTTCCTCTCTCTCTCTCTCTCTCTCTCAAATCAATAAAAACATATTTAAAAGTAAATAAAAGTTCTATTAATACTTTTATATTGACTACATTAGTTATTAATTTCACTAATCATTTTCTATTGATAACTGGGCATGCTGGGTTAAATAAATTATTGGAAATAAAGTCACGTGTATTTTTAATTTTTCTAACTTGGCTTGTAAACATTTTTTAAATTACATTTATACCTGGCATTGTATTTGTATTACAGAATACTGCTCCAGATCCGACATGTACTTCACATGAACTCCAAGAGGCAGACAAGTCAAACAAAATCACAGGAAACAGCATCGCATCAGAACGCAGACATCTGACAATACAGGGGCTGGCAAAAATAGCTTTACAGTTTCAGTACGGGAAAGAGATGTGAATGTTATGATTATTACAACAGCTTTATTAACTCAAAAGAACGCCACGGACAGCTGTAAGCCTACTTTTGACAACCCCTGTATAACTCTCCTGGAATCTTCAACAGTCAAAATTAAATTTTAAGAAATGCAGGGAAATGTTTTGGGCGTAATAAAGAGATTGGAAAACAACATGCAACGTGTGATCTTGTTCGGATCGATGCTAGCTCCAGAAACCCCCCCCCCCCCCCCCCCCGATTCTTCTCTCATAGATACTTTTCTGGGGAACTGGAGGAATCTGATTTTCGTGCGTGGACAATGGAATTTTGTTCTGTTTTGGGAGGAGACAGCCCTCGTTCTTAGGAGGCGCATGTTTAAGGGGTGAAGTGAGTGTCTGCAATTTGCCCCTCACTGGCTCATCATCACAAGAACCTACATCCTGAATGACAAGCGAGACACATCGTAACCATCAGTGAATCTAGAAGATCAAGGGTGCACCTGACGCTGCAGGCAGATTTCCTTCCGATGGGAATTTCTAAATGAGAACCACTCGCCCGTCCAAACCCACCGAACTCAGGGCTAGTTCCACCTCGACTTCTGCTCGCAGCGAAGTCAGCGCGCACCATCTATTCTCCCGGAGACGCCCGCTCAGCGCCGGGGGCTGCAGGGCTCTGCGAGGAGCCGACTCGAGACCCGAGGAGGCAGCGCGCCGTTCCCCGAGGTCAGCGCGCGAGTCACAGTCTTTCATTCACCCGCGTGCACCCAGCCACCGGGAAAGGCTCCTCTCTCCCCCGGAACGCAACTTACCGACACCCCGGGGGAAAAATCCACGGAGGGCGCCCCGGACCCGAAGGGAGTGCCGGCTGCGGGGACCGGGCACCCGAGGCCGCAGTCAGCGACTCGAAGGACCGAGGTGCTCTTCCTTCTGAGGAAAGGGCACAAACGGAGACTGACCTGGAGGCTTTGCTAAAGGGGAGGCGGGAATCGCCCCGCAGCGCCCCCCCGGAGGCCAGAGGGGCCGGGTCAGAGCGCGCGGGCCGAGTCAGAGCGCGCGGGGCCAGCCCGGGTGACCCCGCCTACCCCTACCTCCGACGCCCGCCCGCCCGCCCGCGCGCACACACGCCAACCTGCACACGCCAACGTGCACACGCACGCTCGCTCGGTCTCCCGCGAGCGACGTAAGGGGGGAGCCTCGGAGGTTT